AAATGCGATATGACGTATTCGTCTAAGGGCCTCCGGATTCAGCAGGGGTTCCCGCCCCCCCGTCTCTAGAATGACAGACGGAAGACATCCTGCGATGGGACCGAATGGCACCTTCAGTCCCTGACCGAAAAGGATAATGTGTCCCATGATGGTCTACCCAGAGGGGCTACTTCCTCGGAAAGAAATAGGGGATATCACTAGTGTTGAATGTAGTGAGTAGACATGAGTTCTAGGATAAACATAAACAGGACCATCCCCTGTTTGCCTGAAAGTGTCCATTCCTTCGCAGAACCGACTCCCGAAACAAATAATATCAACAAGTTTGAGCCCACCCGCATGCAATCACGCGAGCAATGGGAGCGATGCCCTGCGTTGCAGTTTCCGTAAAACCGAGGAGCGCTGCTACATGAAGCACCAGGCGACAGGCGCCATGCGCGAAAGAACGATGGCTATGAAATGATGGCTCCAAATGTCTTTCAAAATAATCTGCACCGTTCAAAGTAGGTACAGGGCGTGTCATTTTTACAACTTCGAGCTTATACTCAGGACAGATTAACAGCCACAGCAGCGCGAAAATAAATGTTCTTTCTTTACTCTACTAGCTCCGCCAACAGATTCCAGCACCACTTCGCGGTGCTGTAAAGGCCAATCCGTTCTTATCATCAATAAAAAATCGCACAGTTGAAATATACGCCCTGTATGCCTTCTAAATGTACGATTTGATATCATAAAACGCTGAGAGACACTTTCCAGATGCGTCACCATTTTGTCCCCCCGTTAGCCACGGCTTAGTATTAACCGCGGGCTTGACGCCGTGACACCGAAGTGGACCGCACGGTTTGCGGAGACTGCAACGCCTGGCGTCTTGTTTTTTGTTGCTAAAATCTGCGAGCGCGCACGCTTAAAACTACATTACATGATGTGTATCATTTATCGATTCTGACTGAATGTTGAACATTTCCAAGGCAGCATACTTGGCTTTGATGATACATGTTGTTGACTCATTCCGATCCGCAGTCTACATTCGCGGGTCCAGAATTAGCATCTCTGAACAACACATATACAAATTCTGACAAAACTTCTGAGCTCTATCGGTTTAACAAGGAATTCCTTTGATCATCGTGGATGAAGAGCTACGGCAATTTATGTCTTGCAGTCGCTTAACGCATGATTTCTTCAGTTTATTGATTTCAAAATTCAGGCAGAATCGATCTCACGGTAACGTCTAGCATTTACTGCAGCAAAAAGAAGGCCAAAAGGGATAAAAACGTCAAAGAAAAGCATGCCCCCAGTTAAAAATGTGCCTAATCCAGCAATCTTTTAGGGGCCCTTTTACTCTCAGGGGCCCTCTGTCAACCTGTGTCCCCACCCTGGCAATGCTTTAGCTGCGCGCCTGGGATTGCCACATGCATGCTTATCATTAAATGGCTGTTTCGCTACATGAGGTGCGGTCAAATTCCGTTAGATGGATGCACGATATTATGGAAGCCATGTTGATTTCATGTGGGCTAGCTCCTGATCAGCATAAAAAAGTGCTAAGTGGCCAGCCTACAAAATAAGTACTGTTGGAATGTATAATATGGCACAATATTACGTGGTTTCAGAGGTGAGTGCTACCGAACTTCTGAATGTGATCGGTGGCAGAAGTGGAAGCTTCTATGAGATATGTGGTGACAAATTTCCGAAAATGGTAACAAATTACAGTGGTCATCCCGGTTAGACCACACTCAAAGCTTACATAGTGTTGTTTTTTTACTTGCCAAAGTTTGCAGCGTAGGCTTATGTAGAGCACACATGGAAGCATCGACGTTTCACTGTATGGGCAGGTTGAGCAACAAACTGATGCCAAACAGTAGCGTTAATCAGGAAAGTTTTCAAGAAATCAGGTTAGAGCCTTTGGAGTTTGCAAGAAATATATTACAAGCAATGCCATGCCAGGGCTGACGTCAAAGATCAGTGGCGACACAGTGCTCTTCCAACTATCCTCAGATCAAGGCTTTTCACATATGTTTCCAGCCAAAATTCACTTCACATACTAAGCAGTATAAAATGCAAAAATAACTAGGCTTATCGCTATTAGTAAGAATCGTCCCTGGCGCCAACTCCTTGCAGCGAACGCGATCAGTCTGCCGCGCAACATGCATCACGTTAATCACGTTAATTTAAGCTGAAAATTCAAGCTAATAGCATCATGTTAATTTTGTACCCGATAGTATCCTGTAGGTGCTTCATGTTTTGTCATTGATCAGCATCACGTAGCGCGTCGGCTTGTTAGGCCAGTTTGCCATGTTTTTGCCACGCCACTCCAGTATACACTTGGCCAGTGTGCTAATGCTGGAAGGTTTTCACCACATAACGCAGGTGGATCGGGCAGCAATGTACGCCAGCTTTTTAAAATGCTGGGTGGCCCAGATAAAAGTTAACGAGTGTTTTCCTGATCAGTGGAAAGCTCGCGCAGTCGTGAATGTGGTAGCATTCGACTACTGCCGAGATGCGGGTTATATTGTCCGGCATCGACAGATAGAAATGGATGCCAGCCACGGCGAGCGCGAAGCCCGAGCACACTCTCGGCCGAACCTGCCATAGGGGTCGGATGGTCCGCATGGCAGAGGCGATGCCAGACGTTACACTGACGCTGCAAGGCGTCAACAACAACCGCAACTTCAACAGCAACACACGTACGGCAGCAGTGGTGGTCATCAGAGATTCCACATCCTTTAAATAGTGACCACAAAAAGTGCCTCACGCGGCCCCCCCCCCACCCGGTCCAAGGTGCACACCATCTGAACCCGCTGCAGGCGGTCGATTGTCCGGTCACTCTTGTCGACGTTGATGCCCCCCCCCCCCCATTTCAAGCCTAAAGGCGGCCTGGAGGTCTTAACGGTCAGCTGGGTTGTCCATGTGGACGCGGCTCTTGTGGTCGGGGGCGACAGCTCAGGGACGACAGGTCGGACGTGTGGGAGGCCACTTTCCGGCAGACTTAAGCTGCTGCACATGCCAGGGAAAAGGTCATCAAGTAATCCAGAAAACACGATCGAGTGACACGGCACACCATGCATGTGCGGTATCGCGCCATCCTGCTGGGGCCGCTCCCCGTCCCGCCCGGCCCCGTCAAATCACCCCAGGTCAGGTCAGAAGGATATCAGAGCCGTAGCGATGTAACATTCTGAGGTGGTATTGACAGGATCCTGTTTCGTTCTCAAAGAAGCACCTGCTGTAAAAGTCACGATTTGGCGAATGTGATATCACTGATGACTACCGTCGTTTTTTTTTATCCTGTTTCGCCATTGTATGGCCATTAGAATGCCACTGCATTCCTGATTGTGAGAAAATGCACAAAAATGCGTCGTTGAGTAGAACATGGGCTAACTTTTATCTAGAGAGAGATCAGCATGCACACTGAATAAGCGGTAATTTCACACAGCCCGTTTGTTTCGCCTTTTTACCCTTTCTTTACGAACCTGTTTGTGTATTGTTAAACCGAGCACTCACAACACAATCAGGAGACCTCTTTCAGTGTTCCTGGTACATGTTTTTACAGGAAGGAGGGGCTTCTTAGGACCACTACGTGCGCATGACCAGGGATCGAACGATACATATACCGTCTTTCGCATTTGTGATATGAGGACTACTTTCTAAGTAGTCATTGTCTGTACCATCGTGATGCGCTATTGGAGGGTCGGCCAAAACCTTTATTTAAAATTTGGATCGATCCTTTTGACTGCAAGAATGTTGAAGATGAGCGGCAGTGCTGAGTGTGGGCACTGACTCCACCATCCAGCCGTCAAATTTCGGGTCAGCTGCAAAACTTTGTGACGGATAGTTAATTATAGATATTTGAAGTTTGGATATTGTGGATAACTATGAAATTTGATTTCAGACACTGCAGTTAGAGGCACGGGCCATAGCTGTATATGAAACGACATAACAATTCTGAACGTGATGAACATTCCGAAGGTAACGCACTGTGTAACATCAAAAAGAGTGTACAGCTGATAGCAAAACTGTGGAGAGTAATTTGTATGGATGGATTTGAGCCCGTAAGAGCTCATTCTTCAACACCGGTATTACCCCAGTGTAACGTGAGGTGGTGCACGGGGTTTGTTACGTGCCATTTCTGCCTGTGATGCGGCCGATGACCAAACAAGTTCTCATCTTTCCCCGTTCATGCAAAGTATTAGGTTTGAACCGAACCGATATGCTCACCAGCCTCAGGCCCTTTACCCCAGCGGGTCACCCACTATAACACGCCATAACCGCCGGAGCTTTGGCATGGCCAGGAAATTATATTTAAGTACAAATAAATCTTCCAAAACGAGATAGTTGATGATGTTCATGACTCATTGCATTTCACCCATCTTTGTTTTGTGTGGTTTATCGCGTTTGTAGTGATATTGCGACGGTTTCTTATAGATATGGGTCCAGGTGACAATTCAGGCTTTCCAAATTTTGTCGGTGAATATGAACGGCTTCATTATCTGCTGCGCACAGCGATGCACCTGAACCCTGAAACCATTTCAACATGAAAGTCCCATTTATTTCTGGAATGCTGGACGTTGCCGTCGCCGTCAAGATCCGGTTTGACCATTCGAGATTCGCGCCCCGGATGATCATTGATCGGCATGAAACCCTATGGTGCTGAATTCATGCTTTAGTATTAACTTCTGTCAAGAGATGGCGCTATATACAATATTTACCTTCTGCATGACCTTGATATCATTGGGGGCGGCGGCCATAGCATGATCAGTTGAGACGGCAAAATAGAGCTGCAGGTTTAGACAGCTGTTGGAGTTCCGGTGGAACACCGATGGTGAATCGGGATAAAACTCCCCAGCTGATTAAAAATGGCCTGCATTTCGAGTCAACTTGTAGATAATGTGCCAAAACGTGATTTGAGAGATTTGGTATCCATTTCAGAAGTCAGATGACAGTGGTCGTTTATTTACGGGCAAAAGCTGGCTCCTGTTTGTTAAAATCTACATGTCTGCGGGAGAACCATCTTTTTAGCGAGCACGAGGGCTGTAAGGCGCGCTTGCGGGCCGGGTCGTGCGGAGTGGTGCGGTCATTGTCCCGGTGCGTGGGGCGCTTGGAGGGTGCAGTGGTCAGTGAGCAGATCCTCTGGGAAGTACTTTGCGATTTGCTTTTGCGTTGTGTTCTAGGCAGTAACGAGTTGTGCGATATTCGCGGATCAACAACAGACAGCATTACGGAGGAGAGGTGAGATGTTGTTTTGAGGCGTTTCATGGCGAGCACAACAGAGTGCAGACCGTAACATTGTAGTTATCCTCGTAAACGGAGCTCTTGTATATGTAGTTTAAGAATGACCTCTCATTTCAAGGCATGTTGTTTGTTTTTTATTGTTGCTTGCTTTTGTGATCCGTACATTCTGTGTAGGGTAAGGTATTTTATCCACACAGTTATCTGCGTGGCTAGTTTTCAACAAAGCTGACGCTTTGTGTGTCACAATATTGGTATGTTCTTATGATATGTGGGGGCAGACAGCGCACTAACTGGAAGTCCCGGCCACTGGCATTGCCATCGACACCAGCATGAATGGGAATGCCTAATACTTATGCTCTGCCATTTCATCAGCAGGCCCTTTTTGTAGCCTATCATAATTTGCTGATGGGGTGCATGACAATATTATGAATTGGTAAGCTTTAATTTAAGACTTGTGTATGTTAAGAAGAAAAAATTGTTTTAGTTTGGACGACATTTGGAAAATAACTATTGTCTAATAACATATGATGTATATCTTAGAATACACCATTTGCAGCAAAATTGCACATTGTTGTTTTTATCACCAAATACCTCCCAGGTCAGAAACTTTTCAAACATAGTATAGGAACATTCACAATACTCTTCAAACATCAAACGATATATTAATAATTGACATGCTCCATGACTGCCCAGTGCTCAGATCTAAATGGTGTAGTGTTTTCAGGTGTTTAAAACACAATCAAAACATTTTGGATTGATGAATTTCTGGGAGCAGAGCTCTCAAAGCTAAGAACAAGCTGTATGAACAAAAAAGTGCTTGGAAAGTGAAGCTGCAACAACATCTCTTCATGATCAGTCAGTGAAAATTGATATAAAAGTGCACCTTTTTGTCGGGGAGGGCACACCATGTTTCACAGATGTTCTGTAAGAAGCTAACCAATAGCATAAATTGACAGAAACAACCATGCACTGCACTATGATTACTCTGTTTTGCTGGGGTTTGCCAGGATGTTGCACTCACCAGTTTGTTGCTCATACTTGCCTGTGCTGTTTTGCTGGGGATTGCCAGGATGTTGTGCTCACCAGTTTGTTGCTCATACTTGCCTGTGCTGTTTTGCTGGGGATTGCCAGGATGTTGCACTCACCAGTTTGTTGCTCATACTTGCCTGTGCTGTTTTGCTGGGGATTGCCAGGATGTTGTGCTCACCAGTTTGTTGCTCATACTTGCCTGTGCTGTTTTGCTGGGGATTGCCAGGATGTTGTACTCACTGTTTGTTGCTCATACTTGCCTGTGCTGTTTTGCTGGGGATTGCCAGGATGTTGTGCTCACTGTTTGTTGCTCATACTTGCCTCTGCTGTTTTGCTGGGGATTGCCAGGATGTTGTACTCACTGTTTGTTGCTCATACTTGCCTCTGCTGTTTTGCTGGGGATTGCCAGGATGTTGTACTCACTGTTTGTTGCTCATGCTTGCCTCTGCTGTTTTGCTGGGGATTGCCAGGATGTTGTACTCACTTTTTGTTGCTCATACTTGCCTCTGCTGTTTTGCTGGGGATTGCCCGGATGTTGTGCTCACCAGTTTGGTGCTCAGCTTACCTCTGCTGGCAACTGCATTTGTGAGCAGAGGCAACCTGTGTTGTCCAAGCTATAGACATCAGGCTTTCAAAACTTGGAACTGTCATTGAAGGGAAACTAATGCAGGAAGTCAGCTTATAATTGAGGGATCCAAGGGAGAAGGTGTGTATAGAGTGGGGTGGGGGAGAAAAAGACTGGGGAGTGTCAGGATGTTGACATGCCTCAAAATATCTCAGTGGGCATGTTGCAGCTGAATGATGATTTTCTAAGCCGAGGATGGTCTTCTGCTGGCTGGCAGCATTAGCATCTTTGCTCTTCTTTTCTACCACTCCAGATGAATTCCGCTGCTTCTGGAGCACTCATGTTTTGAAGACTAGTCTTTTACACAGTGCGGGGACGGTCTGTGTGGATTACCGGCGCCATCTTGCGCCTGCCAGCTAGCAACGCACCGTACCTCTGTGATCACGGGTCTAAAACGGCGGCGAAGTTGACAAGGAAATTGGTTAAGGGTTTGCCTGAACATGAGATTTCCTACAAACTCGCGAGCCCCTGACCATGGCATGCTGTAGATGAAGCTGCACTGGGCCGTTGTTTCAGGTAGCGAGACGAAGTGCCGCCATGCCTGAATCCCAGGACCTGCCCGACAGCAGAAACGGCCACGCAGAAGGGGAGCTGGACCAGCTGGACCTGCGTCCCATCACCCTGGATGACATCAGGGTGGACCCGGACAGGAAACAGCTGGACGACAGGTCGGTTGACTCGCACCGTACGCTTTGGGTGTTGCCAAACGCAGCTGCTCGTGCTAGTGTGGTGTGTTTGAACCACGAGTGCTTGTAAGCAGCACACGATCCCCATTCTGGAAGGTGTCTATAATGTTAGGCGCGGCCAACAGGAATTGTATAAAGTTCTTGTTTGAGCGCGCAGGAGGTCACCCCACTTGGAATACGGCGTCAAAGCATGTACTCGCACCACAAAAAGGTATTGATCGGCTTTGACTGCTTCGGCATAGGGCCCCAGTGATAGTGCATGAGAGTATTGGGTTGCTCTATGACATTGACCAGGCTTGGTTTATGACCACTAAGTTGCAGATGTCAGAGGGCTGACATCTTGGAATTCTCAACTGTCTGGTGGTTTACTTGTCTTTGCCCATGGGATTGGCGATCTAGACGTTGTCAAATGTGAATGTTCCAAGACCCCAGGAAATGGGGAACATGCACGTAACTTAAGACTACAGAAGCGCACGTTTTTAAAACGAGGGGCTGTGCAATGCTCACAACATTCTTCAACTTTGTCAAGATAGCTAGCTGAAAAGGAGGCTAACCAGTACCGCCTGGCATCTTTGAGGTCAACAATAGCGGGGCATCCCGTGTATGACGGTGGTTCGCCACTGCCACGGCTCGCCGAGTACTGATGCATGTGATGAAGGCCTGTTCGGCCGCGGCCAGGCGTGGTGTCAGCCGCTGTGGTCAGTTGCGCGCGCCGGCTGGGCGCCGCTCACCGCGCCCTGCTGCGCTGCTCGGCGGCGAGCTCGGCCCGCCCGGCTCGGCTGGCCAGGGCCTCTGTCGCTCACCCGTTCCGCCCCTGCCCCTCCAGTGAGATCGTCGAGTGGAAGAAGCGGAACCACTTCCTGTCGGCGGCGTTCGGCAAGCGCAAGAGAGTTACCAAGCTCCGCTCAGACCACAATCTGTGGAACAGGGCGCTGTCCAAGGTCAGTGCGGCTCGCCGACGGAGACGCTGGTGCAGGGCGGGGTGAGGGGGGGGGGGGGGGGGCGGGGAGGAGGAGCCGCTTTCAGCCCCGGGCTCTGGGAGTGTAGTGGGCGGGAGTGGAAGTCCGTGAGAAGAAAAGCTCGCGTTTAGCGATTTTCTGCAACGGAAAGCAGTCGCAGTTGCTTCATTTTAGCATGATTTCTGATATTCGTGTTCTTTTTGTTGCGCTTTTGATGCTTACGCCGCGCGAACCCTTCGAAGATTAGGCCTGCAGACGGACCTCGATGGAAAAGCAGTGACACCGTCAAACATCACATCATTTCTGATGATGCTCTCTCAAATCTGGCAGCACTGTGGCCATGACACTATGGAGACCTGGACAGCGTAACTCATTATTGGGAAGTTTTACGTCGTGCATTGATACATGTGGTATATGTGTCTCTTAGAGGCAATTTCTGCTTTCAGTAGTAAAGAACTTCAAGTTCGTTTGCTAAACTTATAGATATTGTTAGAAAAAGTTTCTCCGAACATCACACACTGCTAGCGGCCAGGCTCTCCGCTGCCGAGCCTCGTGAAGTTGGTTATGGGCCCGAACATTGGGATCGACTGTAGTTACTTCGCTCGGGCTACCTATTTGCATGGAGCTCGAAGGCTTCCAATGTGGCTTGTACGACGACGCATGGCAATATGCAACGCTGCCGTCGTGCAGCAGAGTCTTGCGTTAGTATGGTTATTCCGCTGCACTTTGAACTGACCGACACGTCTGCCCGGGCTATTCGGCACGCCGTGCTGTGTCCACCGTACTTCTTACCTCTAGCGCATCACATCTCCTGAAACATTCGCGACGACGGTCCGCCTGTGCAACAAGCCGGTTCGCAGCGCGTGTCGCCCTCCGACGTGGGCATTACAAACCTTCCAAAACCGTAGGTGCGTCGGCGAGCGGCCGATCATCGGCGGCGTCCTGTATACTGCGGACGTTACTCGGCGACTCTGTATTGCGGACACTACTCTGTGACGACGGGGAGGGGAGACGTCCGGTGGCGGCGGTCGTGGGGAGGGGGGGGGGGGGGGGTTGTGCGCAGTTGGCGTCCGCCGCCACCGCTGTGCGTGAGCGGCGTTGTGCGTGGGGCCGATTTCGTCAGCCGGTCCGGTGGTGTTGGGGGGGGGGGGGGGGGGGGAGGGAGGGAGGGGAGGGGAGGGAGGGCAGCGCGCCCACACGGTGAGGTCGGGCGACGCTTGGCAACGCAACACGGCCCCTCGCTGCTCTGGCTGCCGATCGGTGACTGGCTGCTGTCCAATTTGCCTGAAGCGCAGCTGACCGGACTGGAAAATCATAGTGGGGACGTTCAGATTCGATGTCAGATCGGTGACTGGGAGTTCTAGATTTGATTGCAGAATTTCTGTAGACTCGGGGCCAACAAGTGTAGGTTTTTTGAACAGTTCCAAAATCTGCCAAATGTCATCATCTGTTGTAGTGACTTTTGAGTGCAGCAGCTGTCCAAGTCGACCACAGACCATAACTGTAAAGGATGGAAGGTATAAAATTATTGTCAGGGTTTGTATGCCGGGTGAAATACAGGACAACGCACAAAGGTGAATGCAGTCGAGAAAATAGTTTTTTTTTGCAAGTCCTTCCGAAATATTCGTGCCGTTCGGACCGCTCCATAGAGCTGAGGCACTTCAGCCTTCCCTGTTTCTCAAATAGCCTATAGTATCACCTGTTCCAGAACGCTCCACAGCGTCCCGGAACACGCAATGCTCTCGACTGTTTGCGAAGCATGGACCCCGCATCATGGGCGGGACCCATGCTTGCGCAGGCGCGTCACGAAGGAGCGAAGCCTCCATGCCGAGGAGGTGATGGAGCCGTGCGAAATCCCGTGACGATGACTCCTCCATGCGGAGGAGGTGATGGAGCCGTGCGTGGTCTCGTGACGATGACTCCTCCATGCGGAGGAGGTGATGGACCCGTGCGGAGTCTCTTGGCGATGACTTCGCCGTGCGGAGGAGGTGATGGAGCCGTGCGGGGTCTCGTGACGATGAATCTTCCAGGCGGAGGAGATGATGGAGCCGTGCGGAGTCCCTTAGCGATGACTTCGCCATGCGGAGGAGGTGATGGGGCCGTGCGGAGTCCCTTAGCGATGACTTCGCCATGCGGAGGAGGTGATGGAGCCGTGCGGGGTCTCGTGACGATGAATCTTCCATGCGGAGGAGATGATGGAGCGGTGCAGAGTCTCGTGACGATGACTTCGCCATGCGGAGGAGGCGCGTTACGCTTGGTACATTCTGGCATTCTGGATACATTCTGGCACTCGCAGAGCACACCGGACCACGCATCAGTCGGCAACATCTGGTGACATTCGTCCCGCTGCCAGATCGGCCCATCCGGACCCTGTTGGCTCTCCCAGAACGTCACCTCCAAAGGCCCACAGTGGGTCGGGTCAGCGGAGCGGTAGGCGCGGGGTCAACGGATCACTAGGTGCAACAGTCGGGCTCGCCCTTCGCAGCGCGATTCCTGCACGTCACGGACACGGTCACAGCCGCGCCAGCCGGCATACAGCACGCTCTGGCTGCAGGCGCTCCAGGTTTTCCTCGTCCGTGCGGCGAGGCCTCATTTACGTGTGCTGGGAGGCGGCGTGCACGCTGCACCATGCCGTGCCAAACCTTGAATGGCCCTGAATGGCGTTGACCTTACATTTTAATGAACATTTACCCTTGGATAACCTTGAACCCTACATGTCCTTAAACCCAAATGATCTTGAACCTTGAATGGCATTGAACCTTGAATGGCATTGAACCTGAATGACACTGAACCTTGAATGACCTTGAACCTTGATTGACCTTGACTATCTTGACCGTGGTCAAGTTATTCAAGGTCATTCATCTATTCGGACGGAATCATCGGATTCTGTCGTGCCAGTGGCAACACCGCCGCCCCGCTCCGTCTTGGTGACCATGTCCCGGCTGATCCGTACTCGTCGCCTGGCGCGAGACCTGTCCTGTTCTCAAACTCGTATGCCGGAATGTGCCGCGTCCTGAGGATGTGGCTACCTGAGACGTGGTCGGCCGCGGCGCGCCGCCTGCATCGTTGGCCGGCTCTCCTGGTCTTGCGCCATCCGCTCAGATGGCGCGGCGCGGACCGCGCAATCTCTCGGGTATTGTGGAGGCGGACTCCGCCAGACCACCAACCTCTACAGGCAGGCATGCCAGGATCCCCTCCCCACCCGGGAGCGGATTGGGGAGCGGCTGTTGCCAGCCGTCGCAGCCGATAAACAGCGCCTCTGACCTTTGCAAAGAGCTGGCTTGTTTGGGTGGGCTCGGCGAGCCAGATGGCTGCGCCCGCGACCGCTGCGGAAGTCAAACTGTGCCAGTACCGGGGGGGGGGGGGGGGGGGGGAGGCTCCCCCGTCCCTTCCCGGCCAGTGGCAAGACAGGCGCGGCTCTGGTGCGGCGCTGGGGGCCGGGCAGGAGTTTAACCGGGGTCAGACATGTGCCGGGAGCACAAGAAAGATACAACGGACGCGTGAACGCGGAGTCCTATGGGACCGCCCATGGGATGCAGGCGCGTGTTTGGCGCGGGCGACGTGGTCTTGCGGAAATGTCCCGCGAGGATCGCGCCCGTCTCCGATATCGACGTCAGATGGACTTCGCGCCGTTTTGGGGCGCTCGAAGCGCACGGTCTGGTGGGCATGTTTACGGTAGGCGAAGAATCCGGACTCAGCCTGCAGCTGCCGCCTATTTCTGCGGCTCGGTCCGATGATTGCACAGATGATACCGCGGCAGGAGTGACTTACGCACAAACCAGGACATGTCTCGACCGACAAAGTGCCAGGTCAGAGTGTGTTTGTCATGTGCTTACATTTACCCGAGACCCATTGACGTGTAGGTCTGCATGGTTCACTCGTGTCATGGTGGATCTAAAAGAGTACCTCACAGCTGCACGCTGTTATTGACTCGCAAAGTACATCTCTCACCCAGATCAACGGCATGTGATCTGCTGCGCCTCCTTACCCCCCCCCCCCCCCCTCTACCGAGCGGTCCGAGCGTTTGTGGCTCGGCTTCGGCGCTGCTCCGGGCTGGCGCGGTGCCCGCCGCCGCCGACGTGCGGATGTGCGTGGTGCGCGTGCCATGCGCGCCCGCGGCTATTTCCGGTCGCCGTGCGCTTGTGAGGCGTCTCCGTGGGGATCGCGCCGGCGGTGGGGCACACGTATGTGAGACGGTCAGTGTTTGTGGTGGGGCACACGTATGTGAGACGGTCAGTGTCTCAGGACGGTGCTGCTCCTGCTTCCTGTTCGTTGGCTTCCACTGCCATGGGACGGACGGGATATACAAAGTGTTCGAACCCCCCCCCCCTCTTCTTGTTTCGCGGAGCAGCCCGCAATTTCGGCCGCTCGTCAGCACTGACAGGTGCCGATGTATCGGCCTGCATTCCCCCACGCTGGGATGACGGCGATGTGGAGCGCGCCCGGTGTCTCGGTGGGGGAGGGGCAGGCTTCAGAGCCTGACCAGGAGGCCTTACAGGTCTGGCGCAGCGGCGGCGCCAGGTGCGCCAGCACCCGGACTGCCAGCGCGCGTTCCATCGGGCGGGAGATCCGGAGAAGGCGCGTGTGGCGTCGGGCCGGGTGGATCTGGACCAGTGGTCTCTTGGAGTGGGCCCTCTGGACGTCCTCCATTCTGACAGCTTGTCTTGAACCAGGAGTAATCTACCCGTGAGCAAGTCGGCTGCCGGTTGTGTTCCGTTGGTGTCCGTAATCGCGTCACCCACTGAAGCTTGACGATTGGGTGTCGAAGTGTTCCGCGGAGTAGCCCAGTCGCTCTCGCCAGCGCCCCAGTCGCTCTCGCCAACTCTGACATTCAATGGTTTCGTGGTGTGAACCATCCGCTCTCCGAACTGCTTCGCACTGCCCCGCGTACGTGGACGCCATACATCTAACACTACACTAACATACTTCTAACACTAACATACTAACATATACATAACATATACATAACATATACTACATAT